TTCGTAATTCATACTTTTTCTTTTTATAATATTTTATTTTTCTTTGTTTTATCAATAATTTGTTAATATTATAGAAAAAATTTTGCTTTTTTTTTTAATGTTTATATTACAATATTTGTATTATATGTTATTAAATATGATATATTTTTTATCATTTTTTAAATATTTATTAATTTTTTAAAAAACAATATAAATATTATAATTTTTTTATAAATTATTCTCAAACTTTTAAAAATTATTATATAATTTTTTATATATTATTATATATATATATATATTTGGTAATTCGTTGAAATTATATTAATAAAAAATTCTATAAATTTTTTTGAAATTTATTATATCTATAATAATACTTTATATTTATTGTATATATTTAGTTAATAATAATTTTTAAAAATTTATTATTAAACAAAAATATCATCTTGAATGACAACCATTAAATAAAACTATATAAATTTTTTTTATTTACATTGTATTATGGCTTAAAGATAAATTCAACAATATCGTATTTAGTTATTTTGAATTCAAAATCATTTCAAGCTCATAATGTAATGAGTTAATATAATTAAATTTTGAAATTAAATACAAAATACTTAAAGTCAAAAATAATATTATTTAAAGAAATACAGATACTTTCATTTTTTATTGAATATAAATTTTTATTATATTACACACATATTGCAATTTATTGCAAATTCAATACTAATTAATTTTTATTCGAGATTTTCTTGTTAAGAGGAAGGCCTGAAAAATCATGATGATCATTATAATGAACACTCTTCATACTTGCTAACAAGGCTTGAACAACACTGTTACATATAAGGCAAGGGGTTAATCATGCTATTCAAATGATTATTTCTGACCGGTCAGGGACGTGTTTCGCACAGTAACGATAAGAAACCTCCTATCTGTCTATAAGCTTTCGTTAAAAGCTACTTCAAGATTTTAAAGAATTACAATAGCTAACAAAAAGTTGGATAAATAACTGCATGGTATTCCATTAAAATTTTCTATGAAATAAATTTTTAATTATTAATAAAATATTTGTTGGATGTATAAATTCCAGAATCAGTATAAGAATATTTAAAAAAAAAAAAGGTAGATCTAAGTCTTATTTTACTTAATGTAAACTTTAATTACTTATAAGCTTTAATAAATAAACTTCAAATACATAAATAAAAAAAGTACTCTAATATAAAATATATTAATAATTAAAATTTTGAATCATATTTAATTTTAAAATAATTTAAATACATTTTAGTTCATTGTTTTTAAAAAAATTAATAAAATTTTTTAAACGAAATAATTCTCAATGAACAATGAAATATTTTATTTTCATATTTTATTAGAACGAAGAGATATAAAATTTTTATATACGAATTATATATAATTTATAAATATTTTTTAAATAACTTTTAATTAATTTTGTTTAATAATTTATACAATTTCTATATTAAATAATATTTTATTATTATAATTAATACATAATTAATAATAGAATATTTTTCTTTTTTAAATGAAATATAATTTAAGTTATTTAATATTTTGATGAAAGAATAAAGAACTTTTAGATAATAATCTTTAAAATGATTTATGACAATTTAATAATTCAAGAAAATAAAAATATATTTAAAAACAATTTTAAATTTATAGAATTTAAAATAGAATTAAAATGATCAAAAATGCCATATTTTTTTAAAGTATATTCATTTTTTTAAAAATATATTTTATAAATTTTCCTTTATTTTAAAAAATGAACGCTATAATTAATTATAATATGGAATTTCTTACAAAAAATATATACTGTAATATGTTATATTATTGTATAATAATATAATTTTAGATTAAGAATAATAAATTAAAAATAAATTATAGATATATAAATATAAAAATAAATCAAATAATAAAAATATTAATAAATCAAAATAAAAAAAATCTAATTATGAAAAAAATTGTGAAAAAAAATTTAACTTTCTTGTTCAAAGAGAGTGGAGCATCAAAATATAATTTATTCACGATCACAATATTAATAATAAATGATACATTTTTCGAAACATAATTTGTGCTACAGTTTCGACGACAGTTTCTTTTAAACCACCAAAGAAAATATATCTTTCGGTTGATGATCCATCACATCCTTTCGGAAATTTAGAAAAGGGAACGAAACCTCGGTTAAAGGGCAGACTTTTAAACTGTAACTTTGGCAATGTCGCATTACTTTATCTTCTTTCTTTTTTTCTTTTCTTCTCTCCATTTCTATGATATAATTTTAAAATTTTCATGAAATATTTCATTTACAAAAAAGAATTACTTTTAAAAATAAAAAAAAATTTAAAAAGAAATTTCTCTTGAAATATTTTCAATATATTCTTGTATAGATATATTCCTACACAGGTTTGTTTAAAAAAGTTTATTATGTAAAAAAATGTGAAAAAGAAAAATTTGTTTTAGATTGTGTTAGATAGAAAAAATATTTCTTGACTTTTAGAATACTTAATTAGTTATTATTTTTAGAAATTATTTGAAGAAAAATATTATTATACAAATTATTTTATTATATAAGAAACAAAATTTTGAAAAAAAAATAAAGAAAAAATATTTAATTAATATGTTAAGAAAACACATGTATATTCATATAAAATATTCTTGCTATATTATATTGTATATACTATTTTTAAGTATAGCTGTTTTTTAAATATAACTGATTTATATTTTAAAATAGAAAATTATAAGTTTATGTAATATAAGAAAAGAAGAAATTTAAATTTTATTGAATCTTGAATTTTATTATAATATGTGATTCATATGAAATAAAAATATTATATATATTTCAAGAATTAACAATAAATATAATAGTTTAAAATATTTTCATAATTTATGCATATATATCAATATATTTTTAAAATAAAATATTAAATAAGCAAAATTCACGTCAAATAAAAAAGAATGATATATATTTTTAAAATAATTTATGTATATTCAATATTTAAGATTAATATTATTTATTTTAAACTTGTTTAATAAAAAAAAATATTTTATCTAAATTTTATTTACAGATTACATATTATATTATAGATATTCTACATATCTGTGATGTAAATTTTATCATTAAAGAATTTATAATTTTATTCAAATATAATTTTATTATATTTGATATTATATACATAATATATATTAAAGTATTATATTATTGTATTTTTAAAATATTATACTTTTCTAAAATTCTAATATAAATTTTTAATTTAATGTAAACAAAAATCATAAATAAAAAAAATTATATTTTTTCTTGGTTTTTAATTTTTAACATTTTTTTTATTCTTAATTATTGATTACTACGAATAAGAAAACGTTATAATTTTAAGAAATGATAAATAAATTTATTATAATATTATTAAATAATAAATAATAATTATTATTAAATGATAAATAAATTATAAATTTATTATGAATATTTAAATTTTTACTTCATACTTTAAATAATCTTTTATTTTTGGTAAATTTGTAAATTAATCATTCTTTCATATTCAATTCTTTCAATTTCAATAATTTTTTGTTATAAAAATCGATATTTTAAATAATTTTTTTTCTCATAAAAATGTCTAATTCTTTTGATTTATGAGATATTTGCAAAAAATTATTCCTATTGTTATATTGAAATTATACTTATATATCTGTGACAGAATGTACATCATGTATGTGACTGATGCGTTTATCTACTATTTTTTATAGGCATATCGCAATACAATTTTTTCTTCAAAATAATTACTTAAAAACAGAAAATACTTTAAATATATAAATTTCAATTCGATTTTAGGAAATCGAATAGTGTTAAATGATGATTCATAAATATTAATTATTTTATATTAAATAATTTTTAATATTAAATATTTTTCTACAATTTTAATTTCGAATAATAGAAATTTAACAAATTACTTTTACAAATAAATAAAAAAAATCCAAAATGAAGAAAAAAATTAATGGCAAATATGCAACATTTAATATATGTGTAATAAAAAAAATTTTATTAAGCTCAAATAGAAAATTATTGTCATTGCGAACATATTTTGATCACATTAATATTAATTAAATTCCGTGAATTATCAAAGATATTTAAAACTTGAGATAATGAACAATTTGTATGATAGAAAAACGAAGCATTAGAGTTAAAAGTAGTTGAAGATTTTTGATTATAAAATCCAGTTTGACAACGCACTGAATGTTAAGAAATACTATTTAAAGAGTTATAATAGAAAAATCGTGGTATTAATATCTGAATATTAAGAATATTATTTTATAATACAATCAAATGTTATATTCAAAAACAAATTTAGAGATAACATCTAATATAAAAATTTCCAACAAAAAAAAGTTACCGATAACCGATTTGAATGTTCAGATTTTAAAATTAATATTGATTTTCCAGAATTTACAGATAATCGAATCGTTTTATTTACAGAGATTACAGAGTTAGAAAAATGAGACATTTTCGAGATGTTTGATCGCACACATTTTCGATACTCCTCTCGAACCGTCGATAAGAAAATTTATATAAAAAATTCATATAAAAAATATTGATTATTAATTACTTTATCGAATATGTTTTCAGTGTTTGTAATAAATTTTATTCTATATATAATATTAATGCATATATTAATAATCGTCTAATTGGAATTTTATTTGCTTAGAATAAAAATTGAAATTAAATTGTTATTTATATGTTGATTTGAAAAATAAAAATATATAAATGCAATAAATATGTTTGATAATAGTATAATAATATATATAAAATATAATACAGTTAAAAGTAATTAAAATAAGATTTGAAAAAATATGAATATACTTATTCATATGAATAACTTTAAGTCACATGGTGATATAGAATAAAAGATCAGAAGTAGTAGTTTTTTGCAGATACATAAAAGATTCTCTTCGTCAAAGCATCGAAAGGAATCGTGACGGTGAATCAGCAAGCAAAAGAAGGGCGTAAAGCTGAGACTCACTGGTGAAGCCACCCCGCGTCGTCCGCTAGGTGCCAGGGTAGCTCTCTGTGTCTCCGGGCGCGCACATAGACGTCTCTCCCCCGTAGATACTTCCAAAACTCTTTTTACGCACCTCTTCTTAACGTATATCTCACTTGTTTCACTGAGATGTGCGTGTATCTTTATATATGTACGCCCGTATCACTTCTCGAATCGATATAACCGGCAAGAACCGAACAAGCAAACGCAACAAACGCGAACCGGATAAGCCAATGGGAAGAGTAAACGAAACGCCGATTACTTTGAACGAAGGAATATTTTCATATAGACTCGTTCCTGGATCTTTCGATAAGATATAAACAGCGTTGCGTCGAACTGATCACTGGTTGATCCGCACCGCTGGAACTATAGTAATACTATGCACGACTCGTTTCGAACTACTACTACGGGGTACGAGGAAGAAAAGACGATATCTCGAATCCCAGAGAAGGACACTATAACCGCTCTCACGTTTACTCTCTCTTTTTCTCTCTCTCTTTCTATGCGTTATCCGATTATATGAGTTTTATACCTCTTAGTTATAGTTAAACACAACCTCTAAAAATCGCGAGGAGCGTTTTTCGAAAGATTGATGGAGAGAAAAGAGAGAGATCCGAGCGAACGAGCAACTCCGAAACGTTCGAGGAGCTGGACGCTTCCCTGGTGGGATCCGGTACACGACTGAGGCGCCCTCTCGCCCCGCCCAGAGGCGCAACGGCACCCACAGTCGCGAGGTTTGACGGGACGTCGATCGATCCACCGACTGACCCCACCACTCATGTCTATGGGATGGCAAGGAGAAATCAAGTTAAACGCATGCGCGGGATTTCGTTCTCGATAGTTGAAAATCGACTGACCCTCGTGAGATCGAATTCATCTAATCGAAAATTTGAAACTTTTCGTATTATTTTAGGAAGTTGAAATAATTTTTAAAAGATTTGAATTCTTATATGTTAAGTTTAAATTTTTAAGTTTAAATTAACTTGACAAATATAATGTAAAATATAAATCAAATTCGAAATATATCCATTATATTATTCATATTTAAAGTGAAGAAATAATTTTATAATTTGAAATTTAGATTTTTTTTAGAATATTTATAATTTTAAATTTGCAAATTTGGTATTGAAAAAAATTAGATTCAAATTTGAAGACTAAAATTTTAATAAAATTTAAATAAAAAAGAAAAAATAATAGATTAAATAAAATATAAATATTAAAATCTTTAATATTG